CATGTGACTTCGCTGACGCAACACTTCTCATCAGTTAGACTAGACCTGCATGTAGCAGTAAAAATATGTATTTGTCATTGCAATAAAAGTGACCAGATGAAACCGATTTCGGAGATAGTATTTGACTTTACAGCAGTTTTGGTATGCAGGCACACCGTATATTTAGTACCATCTCCCACTCGTGCTAAAATGGAATTTTTTTTAAATTTTCAGTTGTAGAGGTACTTGTGATTTTCAAATAGCACGTTGGTCAAGAAAGCAATTAAGTTCATTCTAGCTGTGTCATTTACCTAAGGTATTACCTTTGTCTTCCCGTGGAAAAGGTTTCTGCAAAATTGTAGATATTATTTGTGAAATTAGACAGTAAGCCTTTCCACTGGCAGTCAGTTGATGTCTAGAGGACATGGCCTGCCTTATTTTCAATGTGAATAACCAACAGTCACATGGATAGTAAAATCGCATTGGGAAGGTACAGCCTTAATATATCATGTTATGATATAATGTTATATTTTCTCAGTTCATACAGATTTTTAACAGAAGTCTCTCTATCCAGTAAAGGCATTGTTCTCCGTCCAAATAAACATATTGTTACGTCTCCGTTCGTTAGTTAATTTTCCGTAAATTCTTTCCGACTAAACTTTAGAGACACAAGTCCTTTCTTAAATAAAACTGGTTTATTCTTTCCGAATACAACTTTACGATACACTTAATTTCAACAGTCTCGCTATAACAAACGTCTCACGAGCTCAACTTCAACAATACTCCGTTCAACTACACACTCTCTGCAGTTCAATTACTCATTACCTTGTTGTCCCGTCACGTTGTGAACGTCTTATATATACAAGACTAACACATATCTAGTAAATGCTAGGGCATTCTTGAAGGAACAGGATATTTCTAGAAAACGTGGCGTGATACTAGTCACGTGACCTCGCTGACGCAACAATATACACACACACTTGATTGTGTTACTGAAGAAAGGTTGTTTTCACTGTGTCTTTTCCATTATGTCCAATCAGTTCAGTTTAAAAAATCAGAATTACTTTCCAATATATTTCCTGATCGAATCTTCTGTTATTCTGTAGGACTTGTTACTCTTGGGAAAAATTAGTTTTACTAAAGAAATATCACACAGTGAAGGAAACTGTCCCAATCAAGGTAAAACTTAACTGTGAAATCTCTTTTTCTTTTAGAGGAAAATGGTATATTTGTTTGTTGTTTTTGTCGAATTTCGCGTTAAGCTACTCGAGAGCTATCTGCGTTAGACATATTTTTGATGTTATAGACTAGAGGGAAGGAAACTAGTCAGCATCACCCACTGTCAGCTCGTGGGGTACTCTATCGAATAGTGGGATTTGACTGTCACTCTTATAACGCACTCACTGTCCCAAAGTGTGAAGCAGGACTCTTTTGGGCGGTTATAGGTGAGAACCCCAGATTATTGGATTCATAGACCAGAATGCTAACCACTAGGCCGTGCTTGGTCCAGGGTTATTTGTATTTTGTATTTATGCAAAGCTACTAAGGATATCTCCCGTCATCCTTAATTTTGAACTACTGACCACAAAGAAGACAGCCAGTCAGCAGCATTCTACCAGCCCATTATCCATGCTAAGGGATTTACTTTCACTCTTGTAATGCACACACAACTTAAAGTGCAAGGTATATTTTGTGGTATCGTTCTGATTGAAAATTGACTTGCCAGCTCTAATATCCAGAGTTCTGCCATACGTTCAACCCGCACCCAGGGCAGATTGGTAAATAACTCAAAGCACAGTTTTATTACATAACAATATCCTGACAGGTACTAAGTTATTGCAATTTTACTATTATTTATGTTATCCCTTACTGGCTTATACGTGTTTTTTTCTCTCTCCAAGTATCAGTTTCACAACTCACTGAAGTGAATTTCTGAACCACATGATGTCACTATGGTAAGTTTCTGAAGTCTTTCGAAATAAGGCATTTTAATTTAAACTTTAATCCCTATCCTGAAATAATGTATCCGGTTCTATGAAATGTGAGGGAAAACTGCTTGATGTTTCACACATGCAGAAAGTCTACATTTCGGTGATATTCAAGCAAAACTGAAACCAACAGGTAGATACTAAGTATCGCGAAAATTCAGACTTCTTCATAAATGAAGATAGAAAGTCAGACCACCATAGTTTTAGTGTAGTATCCCACATTGCTAGGATACCAAACTTTGTGATCATTCTCATTTTACATATCCAATAGTACATTAATTCTCACCTCATACTAATTTGTACAAACTTCTACACTTCTAGGTATGAAGCAAATCTGATGCAAGCAATGACACAAAAGCATGACCAAGAAAGAAGAAGCTCTACGGACTGGCCACTGTGGTATGTAACCTTGGCCCGAGCCGAGGATTAATGCAAGTTTACAAGGATGTTAACTACCTACAGCCAACTGCAAAAAAATCTTAAAACGTTTACTTGAGTACAACTGAGTGAAAATGTATTATTATGTAATTACAAAACGGTAAAATATAGCAGTATTAAAGTGTTACATTGCTTTCATCTCTTGCTTATTTTACAATAGTTCGGTTTTAAAATTGAATATATATATATATATATATATAAAGTGTATTTACTTTTAAGTTAATAGTTTAGAAGGAAGGCAGTTAGTGTACAGCACCCTCCGCCTACTTTCGGGCTACTCTTCTCTGACAGAATCGTGAAATGTGACCGTCACCTGTCCAGTGCAACCAAGGACCTAAAGTGCAGATCTCGATTTTGCAACAACACGCCACAAACCTCAGATCTTCGCATTCAAAGTCCGAGCACACTCGGCCATTATGAAAACCTGTCTTGGGATTCAAGTGTTCTTTAAATCCAGCCTACTCTGATAATCAAAATTCATTGTAAAATTGGGTGTAATGTGTTTTCAATGTTAACTTTTTCTAACTATAAAAATACTTGGAACCCGTATTTTTTTTTTTATCAAAGTAACAATATAACACCTCAGTTTAGTGTTGAATAATATTACAATATTTCCACTGTTGTAAAGCAACATAATTTATTATTAATGAAAAGGTGTTTGCTACAAGTTTCCATCAGTGATTGTCGTCTTTCTGTTTCCGGTGATCGTTCGTTTTTAATCTAACTTATCAGTCATCACCCCACCTTTATGGATTCAACTATTTGACCTAATTTGATACAAGCCACTCTAACAAAGTACACCTTTGTATCTAAATATTGACTTTGTACACCTGATTTGTACAGATAATAGATATTATAAAATGACACAAAGTACAGCCGATAAAGACACATCTCGTACACAACAGTAACTAAATACTAAATAGTCATTGTCTATAAATTACAAAAAGAAGCAAGAATCACAACTCTTATATGTATAGTGAGAAAGACTGAAGTTCTCTACCTGGACGATAGCGTAACCATTTTATAAAACTTTGAAGATATTAAAAGGGAAAAAATGAAAGAATTTTTAGTGCAATAACACCAAGATAAATCGTCTAATGAAGGCGATCACACCATTACAATAAAACAAACAAACACACAAGTGTTTATTTCACAACCTAAAACAGAATTTATTTACAAATTTCGATATCCGTGGTGGGCAGAGCACAGATAGCCCATTGTGTAGCTTTGTGCATAACTACAAACAAACAATCCAATGTGATAAACTATTGAGTATTTAATTCTATTACGGTTCAGTTGCTTCTTTGAATGTGATGGTGGTTGTGATTAATCTAATATCGAGTTTTTGTACTTTAAGAAATTTTTTAAACATGAAATATTTCTCTCAGCTACTAAAATAATTCAGCTGTCCTACTCACCCAGTTTCTAGCGTTGTAAGTCCGAAGACATACCGCTGTGCCACTAGAGGGCATTACGTTGGAAAAAGCAATTTAATATAAATAAAATAAACTAAAATACATACTTGTTCATACCGCTTTATATTGATGTCATTGCTACATGCATGTAGTATTTATTAAGTAAATGCTCGAGTAGTAACAGAGAAGGTAGCGTGTGATTGGGCAAGATGTGCGAATTGTTATTCTGGTCTGTATAAGTTGTTGTTCGTCAAACACACCTGTTGTGTATAAAAGGGTGTGCTTTTGGTATAATATTTTTCGAAACACATCAACGCTTTGTTTTGATAATTTCTCTGTACTTGATGTAGAGTCATGCCTCGTCACGTGTCAGAAGTTATAGGTTGTCAATTTGTTCGACTGTTCAGATATGGTATGAAGCAAACGGACATTGCCAAAACAATAGGGTACACCATATGTACTGTATCCAGAATCCCGAAACGTAATCGGACTACAGGAAACGTTGTTCCAGGAAAGTATATTGGTATACTCCGAAAAACTACTGTCCGAGATGACTGTGTTTTGATCAGGTTAACAAGTCAAGGTCGAAAGAAGTCTTGCAACACCTTACGACAGGACTGGCATGAACTGATGAACACATTTATTTCAGAGTATCCGGAAGAACAGAATAGAAGACTGACAAACAAAGAAGGTTATTTTGCAAGAAGGGTTATCTGCAAACCGATATAACCAGAATTGACCGCCGTCATTGTGGTACTTGGGCAAGACAGCTTACAGTTAGGATACTGGTAACATGCCATCTTTTCAGATGAGTCCTGTTTCCGGCCTGTTAAAGCTTATAGTAGGATTCATGTTCGTCGTTTGCCTGGAGAACAGACGAGGAAAGACTGCCTTTCCTACAGTGAACACACAGGAGGTGGTGGAGTACATGTTTGGACAACTATACATCATGGTGGAAAAATTGCTCTTCATATCCTCCATGGAAACGTCAATGGCGCCTTCTACAGGCATCATATGGAGGCGATATTTTTACCATATGCTAGGGCAAGGTTTGGCAATAACTTTGTTTTCCAGGATGACAATGCCAATACATGTATTGTCTAGGATTATATCGACCAGGAGGGCATTACAAGGTTGAAATGGCCAGCAAAGTATTCAGATTGTAATCCAATTGAGAACTGTTGGGCAGAACTTAGCCAGAAAATTGCTGACCGTGACCCTAAACCAGCTATTGAAGCTGAGTTGCAGCGCCTTCTAGTGACAAATTGGTGGATTAAATGAATAACCTCATTGACAGCATGCCACGTCGCCTTGCAGAGGTTGTTAGAGTACAAGGAGAACCAACCAAGTACTGAATGTTTCACATGAACTTATATAAGGTTATAGACGTTTTTATAATAATTCTATGCCATATGTTTTGGTAAGGTTTTGTTGTGATAAGTGAAATGCTGAATTACACATCTGTCAGGTTTTATAAGGATGTGATTCTTTATAGTAGGTGTCTGTGACTTGGCGATAAATTTCAAGAATAAACAAACAGTACGCAGTCCATTTGTTTTAAAATAATATATTAAGACAAGACAAGTTGCACAATCAATCACCACAGTTGAATCTAGAGCTTTAAATAATTCTCTTTTTCGTCAAAGTTCACACAAACTGGTTCATTTACGTTAGAACCCAAATGACGAAACAAATAATTTTCTCTACTCTGTTATTACAATATAAGGTGCGATTATTACACTTTAAAAGTCACCACTATACATTATTTATGGCTAAACTTATGAACACCCAGTCTATATCTATATTTTTTACTAATATTTCATTAGATACTCTCGACAGCAATCTAGAACTTTCTACACACTACAAGAGATTGTATGATGCAACAATACTCAATTAAAGCAAGGAGAAATATTCAGAAGGTCCAGGTAAGATGACGTCAATTCACAACAATTGAACTACACAACAAATAATTCATGAACAGTTACTAAGTAAACTTGCCATAACTGTTTCTTCTAAAAAGTCACATTATATAAACTCAATAATACTCTCGTATTAAACTTAAAATGAACAACCATTAAGGTTTCCCAACAATAATCCCCTCTTCAAGAAAAATATTCACAATATTTTTTTATATTATATACAAAGCTTGTTCTCAGTTCATGCACAAAGTCTACTCATATAGTCTGTACCAACAGTTTCAGTTCCCTTGATGGCCTCAATGAGGAACCTATAATTCTGGAGATACAATGCCCACCTCACGATCCTTGCACTGTCGATTTTGCCCCTCTGGATGTATGCAAAAGGCTGATAGTCCATTTGGATGATGAACTCCTTTCCATAGAGGTAGTTCTGGAACTTCTGGATGGCAAATAATGGCCAGACACTCTCATTTGATCACAAAATAGTTCTTTTCACTACTCAGCAGCTTTTTACCTACATACATTACCAGAAACAGTTCTTCTTCGTGTTCTTGTAGGAATACTGCTACAATTCCTATGTTTGAAGCATCACCCTGAATGATGAACGTTTTTTTTTTAAGTCTGGCATTCTAAGGATTGGCAAACCTCCTAAAATGTCTTTCAACTTCTGAAATGCCATCTGCTGTGGTTGTTCTCACTTCACCTTGTTGAGTTGGCCTTTCTTGGTCATGTCCTTCAGTGGTACAGCGACTAATCCCAGGAAGGATCTAACTTACTGATTGGTCATCAGATCTGGTGCATCTTGTATATGGGTTAGCTTCTCCTTTTCTATAACTATCTGGCAGTCACCCACCTTATGTCCAACAAAGTCCAACACAGAATATCCAATGTAGCATTTAGATGCTTTGATGGTCAGACCTGCTGCCCTCATTCGTACAAACAGCTCTCTGAGTTTCTTCAGGTGGTCTTCCCATCTGGCTGTGAGGATCAGAATGTCGTCCACATAATGCTCGATGTTAGTGGTTTTATGTTGAATGTTGCTGCTGATTTACTATTCCAAATGGCATCCTCTTGAATTGGTAACATTTATTTGTTGTCACAAAAGCTGTCTTCTCTTTAGACTCTGTTTCCATCAAAATCTACCAATAACTTTTACTGAGGTCGATCCTGGAAAAGAACTTGTCCCAGTCTAGTTTTGCCATAATAGCCTCTGCTTTACCCATAGGTATCATAGGTTTGAAGTTGAACTTCGTCACAAGATTCAGCTTCCAGAATTATATGCAGATGTGGTTCGAGCCGCCCATCTTTTTCAAGTCCTACCATCTGGTAGGACTTCACCTTGACTGAATCCCTGGTTGTGGTCTCGATTTTGTGTTGCATAAGGTCTGTCTTGCTTGGCCTATCTGTGTACTGGTACAGTAGATCTTGTAACTCTTTATTCTGCTTGCCAGTCAGTTCTTTACTGATATTGACGTCTTTGTCAGTCTCATCTCCACCAAGCAGTCTTAGGTCTAATAGGTCTTACTCTACTATGACAAAGTCATTATCTTCTGGTTCTGTGTATATGATAGCTACACCTGCCATATCCATCTGTACCTCAATAGCATCACCCGTTAGGTCTTCTTTCCTCTCAAAGTATCTCTTCAACAGATTGGTATGGTAGGTCTTTATCTTCCCATCCACTTTCACTTTCACCTTATACTCCATTCTGTTTACCACTTTCTGCACATCATTCACTGCTGAATGAGTTTGTTGTTATCTGTAGGTAGCAGAACCAAGGCCTTCTGTCCAACCTTAAAACATCGATCCTTGGTCTTCTTGTCATAGAAGTGCTTCTGACTGCCTTGAGATGCATACAAGCTTTCTTGAGCCAGTTAATAAGTCTCCTCCAGTCAGTTTCTGAGGTCTAATATGTACTGGTATGTGTTTCTCACTTCTGAATCTTCTTTTCCTATTTACATCTCTTTCAATATCTGCACAAGACCTCGTTTTGTTTTTCTGTACAGCAACTTGAAGTATGAAAATCCTGTACTTGCTTTTGAGACTTATCAGTAAGCGAATAATGCTGTCTGCATGTATCTTTCTCAGTCACGTGGTCTCTCTTGGCACATCTTCTGCAGCGTACTCTTTAAGACTCAATGGACTCTCTCA